AGAGTACGATGAACCAGGGATCATTTCTGTGTAACTTTTGGCATTTTGCTTTTGTTTCCTTTGTGCTCATCTAATGTGTCCCTGTGGACTTTTTCTAATCATTTCATTTCATTTTTGGGGTCATGTTGTTTCTATTTTGTTATAAACTGAAACCTTCCTCCTTTCCTGCAGTTGTGACTTGACATTTTTTTTCCAAATATGGTATTTCCTAACATTCATCCAGCATTGGTGGTTCAGTGGTAGAATTCTCGCCTGCCACGCGGGCCAATGCACGCCCAGCTTTAACTGAATCTTATAGTGAATAATCTTGATGAGCTGAAGCATATTAAATACACATCGGGTGTTGTGCTTCTGAAACCTTTGTGGTTATAACTGAAATTTCACAGTAAAATGTATGAAATGATAAAATAAAGAAGTTCCTCATTAGAGGGATCATGCAGAGCTTCGTTTTCAGCTGTAACAGCTGCTGCTTTGGATCTCAGCACACAAACAGCAGCTAACCAAGAACACATTAAATCACCTACCAGCAAAACCCGCAAGTTATGGCCACAAATCAAATCGTTCACAAGTCTGTCTGCATTTTCAATACAGCCAAGTTAAAACTAGTGTGCATTGGCCAGGAATCGAACCCGGGCCTCCCGCGTGGCAGGCGAGAATTCTACCACTGAACCACCAATGCTGGATGAGAAGCAGGAAACACCATATTTGGAAAAAATGTCAAGTCACAACTGCACGACTGACGTCTACAGACCAAGACAGGTCTTTTCAGAACCGGTACTGATGACGATTACTGTTAATCCAGAAAGACTGATTACTAATGTTTGGAACTGATATACAGGAATGGTATATTTTAGCAGCATGTGAAAGCAGGGACATGACTCGTTTACTTCAGTAATAAAGATTACTGTAACTGAATCTGATCGATTGATTGATTGATTTCCTCTCTATTTCTCACTCAGGTCCAGATATGAAAACCATAGTAGTTACTGTTTTTAAGACTCTGTTTAACTTAGCGGCTAGCCATTAGCATCGCATTAGTCACTCTAAAAGCAGTTAATGTCCTTCTCCTCTGAATCATATATGACCCTTAATGGTTAACTTTGATCCCCGGCTGCTCACTAAAGTTAGCAGTTTAAGGGACATATGTGATTCAGAGGAGAAGGACATTGGCTGCTTTCACAGTGGCTAATGCTATGCTAACTAGCAGCAAAGTTCGGCAGTACGCAGGTTCAGTCCTGTGGGTTTATCAGTTTGCTGCAGGGGGCGTGATAACAACAGTAACCAGAGTCTTGTGTTTCAGATGTCGCCCTCCAGACGTGGTGGTGTTTCCTCGCTGTGTGGAGGAGGTCAGCGCTCTGGCAAAGATCTGCCACCAACACCAGCTACCCATCATCCCCTTCGGCACCGGGACTGGTTTGGAGGGAGGGGTCACTGCCGTGAAGGTGAGAGATCCTCGATTAACAATAAAAAGACACTGAAAAAGACAAAACCAACATGCTTTGTTTGTCTCCGTGTTTGTGTTCCCTCAGGGTGGAGTCTGCTTCAGTTTAAGAAACATGGACCAGATCCTGGATCTCCACCCGGAGGACTTCGACGTGACGGTAGAACCCGGTGTGACCCGCAAAGCCCTGAACTCCTACCTGAGAGAGACCGGACTCTGGTTCCCTGTGGGTCAGTCGCCGTTTACAGCGTTCAGAGTTGAGAAATAACAGTGAAAATGTTTATCTTTAATAGTTCCAGAGATGTTGTTGTTCAAACAGCATCAAGATTCAATGTGAGAAAAAAACCTGCCAAAAGTGGGTCGGTTTTGATAATAGTTGTAATGAGTTGTAATGTAGATGTAATGACCTGTCATGAGCTGTTTCAATCAACGAATGACCCCCGTTCCCTCAGATCCAGGAGCTGACGCCTCCCTTTGCGGTATGGCCGCCACCAGCGCCTCTGGGACCAACGCTGTTCGTTACGGGACGATGAGGGAGAACGTGATGAACCTGGAGGTGGTTCTGGCCGACGGCAGCATCATTCACACGGCTGGGGAGCGTCGACGTCCAAGGTACAGCCTGGAGACGCAACCCTGCCGCTAGCTACAGGGTCGTTCGGTGTTAAGTTAGCAAAGGTGGCTGCTTGACTACCTCAGAGTCTGTTGAAACTCTGTAGGAATGATCTTCAGCATCTGAAACTGACATCTACCCATTTTGTAACTGAAATTCCAATTTCATCATTATTTACCCAATGGAAATTTTCAAAAAGACTCTATTGCAAGTTGTAAATCGACCGAGATGCCACTTCCAGACGTCCACATCTCCTGAAGTATACGTCCTGGAGTCTCCACATGTTCAGGAGATGTTCAGGAGTTTCTGGTGAACAGAGAGAACGCAGCAAATTCTGGAAATCAAGACTCTTTTTTTCAATATCCTTTCATAAAAACTTCATTTTTCCGTCTTCCTGCTCGTGATCAGCTCTAGACTCCAACCCTCGCCACCACTTCCTGTTTAATAACACCAGTCAGGAGCAGAATGGTTTTATCATGAAGACAACATGGAGGATGTTGGAACTTGACTCACCAGTAGATGATCCTTCCGTCTCTGACTGTCCTAAACTCCATCAGCCTACCCATGAGTCAACACGTCCATCTGGATGTTTGGAAATTCATCACTTTTACCAGCTCTGATCGGCCATAACTCCCATTTCTACCAACGTATGGAAGCTTTCTAAGCATCAGCGATGTCATCCAGATGTTATTCTCACAATAACTTTGATCAAATAGATTCTATGTGTTTCAGATATGTTTTTCCAAGTTCTTTGAAAATCCACTTTATTAGGGATTTTTGAACAAATCCTGAATTTGGAAGCTCTGAAGCAAAGAACTGAGTCTTGATTTCCAGAACTTGCTGCGTTCTCTCCGTTCACCAGAAACTCCTGAACATCTCCTGAACATGTGGAGACTCCAGGACCTATACTTCAGGAGACGTGGACGTCTGGAAGTGGCATCTGGCTCCATTTACAACTTAGAGTTATTGGAAATTTCCATTGGGTGAAATTTCAGCTAAAAAATGGGCAGATGTCAGTTTCATTCCTACAAAGTCTCAACAGATTCTGAGATGGTCAGCCAACCACCTGGTCTTTTTGTGTGTCATTGTGATCGTTTTCATGTCATATTATATTTGTTTGTGTCTCTTTCTGGTCTTTTTGTGTGTCTTTGTGGTTGTTTTTTGCTCTTCGCCATCCTTTTGTGACTCTCATCATGTGTTCTGAGTCACTTTTTGTGTGTCTTTGCTGTCGTGTTGTGTCTGATTGCATTCATTGCATTCGCCTGTTTGTGTTTCTTTTAGTTCGTTTTAATCTTTTTCTGGTCTTTTGTCATCATTTTTTATCTCTTTATCATTTGTTTGTGTCTCTTTGTGTATTTGTTTCTGCCTTTGTGTTTCCCATTTGTGTCTTTGCCGTTGTGTCTTTTCATCTGCGTGTCCGTCTTCAGGAAAACGGCGGCCGGCTACAACCTGACCAACCTGTTCGTGGGCTCTGAGGGAACTTTGGGAATCATCACTAAAACCACGCTGCGTCTGTACGGCGTCCCGGAGGAGATGGTGTCGGCCGTCTGCTCGTTCCCCTCCGTCCAGGCCGCCGTCGACAGCACGGTGCAGGTGCTGCAGGCCGGAGTCCCGATAGCTCGCATCGGTGAGGAAACCACGTAGAACAAGAACAGACAGATCTGCAGGTTTATTTCACGTCAGAGCTTCTGTTGCGTCGCTAGCGTTCACGCTGACTCTTTGACCTCCGCTGTACATATTCAGAGAAACATCCGGCGTGTGCAGATAAACATGAAGAGAAAAAATGTCTCTGTCTTAAAATATCAACTTTTAAACTCAAAATCACAACTTTTTTTTTCTTAACTTTTTGACCTTTTTCTTTACTTTCCTGTTTGTTTTTTTTTCTAACATTGGTCTTTAAAAAAAAAAAATTTCAGGGGCGCTGCTATAGCTCACCTGGTTGAGCTGGTGTCTCATGTACAGGGCTACAGTCCCAATATGGAGGTCATGAGTTTGAATCCCGCTCATGACCCTTTCCCACATGTCCTTGTCCCCTACTTTCCTGTCTCTCTCTCACTAACACTATCCAACAAAGGCCAAAAGAAAACTTTCAGGATTTTTAGTTTTTTGAGGAAAAAACTCAGTGTTACGGAGAGAAAAGCAAAACCGCGACTATTTTCATTTTTTATTTTTTATGTGTAATTCTATTTTTGTTTACATTTTTCAATTTCCTTTCTTAAAATCTCAGTTTTTAAACTCTAAATCACAACTTTTTATTTTTATTTTTTACCTTTTGGCCTTTTTCTTTACTTTTTACATTTTTTTTCCTGATATTTTTTTTTTCCCCTAATTTTTAGTTTTTTGAGGGAAAAACTCGATGTGACGAAGAGAAAAGCAAAACCTTGACCTTTTTTTTAAACATGAAATTATATTTCTTTTTCTATTTTTCTATTCATTTGTTAAAATCTCAACTTTTAAACTTCAAATTGCAACTTTTTAACATTTTTTTAACCTTTTCTTTACAGTTTTTGAACTTTTTTTCTAGTATTGTTTAAAAAACTTCCCTCATTTTTTATTTTTTGAGGAAAAAAACAAAAACTATTTTCATTTTTATTTTTGACATGAAATTGTCGTATTTTCTGTTTTTCTATTTCTTCCTGAAAATATCAACTTTTAAACTCTAAATTACAAATTTTGTTCCCTGAGTTTTTTGCTTTTTTTCTTTACATTTTTTTTTGTAATATTGTGAAAAAAAAATCCAAATTGTTTGATTTTCAAGCAAAAAACATAATGTTATGAAGAGGTTTCTGTTTTACCTGAAATTCTATTTTTCTATTTCTTTCTTAAAACATCAACATTTTAACTCCAAATCGCAACGTTTTTTTTTTTTACTTTTTGACCTTTTTCTTTAGCTTTTTAAAAAGTTTTTTCCTAGTGTTGTTTAGAAAACTTCCCTAATTTTTATTTTTTTGGGGAAAAAAATTCATTCCTCTTGATTCTATATTTTGCCCTTTTTCTCATTTTTTATTTTTTAAAAACAGTTTTTATACATAATAATAAAGATTTTTCTCTTTTCCATTTTTATCTTTTGCTCTACTCGACCTGAACGCAGATTCTTTAATGAAACGATCAACGGAAGAGAAAGACGATGGAGGAGGAGGACATGAAACTTTATTGATCCCTTTAATGAACCAGATCACTGCAGCAGAATCCTGATGGAGGAGCTGAAAATCGATCGATATCAGTTCAGAAAAATGCAGCTATGAAGGAAAAGACGTCACACTGACATTTATCCTGTTTGTGTGTCTGTTGTGTGTTTTGTTTTTCTTCCAGAGTTCCTGGACGACGTGATGATCGACGCCTGCAACAGGTTCAGTTCTCTGTCGTATCCGGTCAGTCCGACGCTGTTTCTGGAGTTCCACGGTTCTGAGCGAAGCCTCGAGGAACAAGTCAACACAACCGGTGTGTGAGTCAGACGCACAAAACGTCTCGCGACACCGGCAGGTTCTGAGAAACGGTCGCACAAACGTTTACCAGTTGAACCTGCAGCCGCGTTCCTTCAGCTGGCGTATGCAAAGTAAAGGCTTTTGAGGTTGTGGTTGTTTTGTGTGTTTGTGTATTTGTTTTGTGTCACTTTGTGGAACTTTGTGTGTCTTTGTGTCTCACTGTGCGCATTTTGCTTCCACTCATACTTTTATTTCAGGTCAAGTTGTCTCATGAACAACCAGATGTTTAGTTTGTTGAACCAAATCAGGTGTTAGTTTGGCTTTACTTTGTGTTTACGTTTTCTAGTAGCTAATATGAAAATGTTGATATTTAGTGACGACAGAAACCCTGTGTGTGTGTGTGTGTGTGTGTGTGTGTGTGTGTGTGTGTGTTCAGAGGACATCACTCAGAGTAACGGAGGTTCAGACTTTCAGTGGGCTCGAGATGCTGAGACCAGGAACCGACTGTGGAAAGCTCGACANGTGAGGATTAAGCGGTGTATAGATAATGGATGGATAGACAACGTGTTGAAACACAGAAACTCAGTTAGTTCCCGTCATTCTGACTTTGAGCTGCTGCAGAGGGCTCATATATCAGCATTTCTGCATCACAAAGACACCGACGAACCATTTCATGTGGAGGTTCACTCATGCAGTTACGGATTCACTGCTTGTGCATCCTCAGCTTGTGGAAAACGTCTCCCAGCAGCTGCAGCACAGTCAGTTCAGGTTTGACTCATGTTTTGTAGAAAACAGAGCTGTGTACAGTTTAAATAGAGCTTTAAATAGCTCCTTGAGGAATGTTCGACCTAAAACGCCTCCAGCTGAACACTCTGGAAAAACAGTTAATGCATTAACTATGACCTGCAGAAAAATCTGAAGAAATGCTGAAACTCCAGCAGCTTGGATGCCAGAAATAAGAATAAAATAATGTTCAATACCCAACTCTTCAAAATATGGCAGTTATCATGGCTAAAATATATATTTCTAACCTTAACTTGTATTTTTAACGTTTACTAAGGTGTTTTCACGTGGGTGAAAATGATGATATGACCAATAAATTCCCTAAATAACAATAATATAAATCATATTTAGATATATCACAGACAGACAGATCATTTATAATGTAAAATAAGCTCAAAAGCTGTGTTTTGACAGGTGAGCAATGCTTTTATAAATCAGTAATGACAGAGAATATCAACATCTCTGTAAAAAATAGGAGAATCACAACTTACTTGTCACTAATTTTTAAATATATGTTTACAGAAATAAGCTTGAATTTAACAGTTTCTACTATCAAACAAAAAAATGGTGATAAAATAAAAAGGAGTAAATTTGTGAATGTATTTTTTGGAGGCTTTTCATTAAAGAAAATATTAAAAATATGTATTTAAAAGATTTTTTTGCAGTGTAATAATGTCCTCAGTAAGATCACACTGAGGAAAAGGTTTTGTTTTTCTCGTTACGTTGTCCTCCTCCCGTCTTATAAATGGCCGTCTATACGTGATGATCTGTCTCTCTGCAGGCGGCGGCTGTGGACGGCGTCCTCTCTGCGTTCAGGTCGATTTGTGGCGACGACGGCGTCTCGTTGGGCGAAGCTGTCAGAGAGCAGCACGGCAAAGACGAATCACTTCACAGGTCAGTGTGATGAACTCATCATGGAGAGTTTTTACTGGAGTTGTGTACAAACAAAAGTCAAATGAAGCAATCTATGGATGCACTGGCCGGGAATCGAACCGGACCGGTTTTGTTTACAGCATGTAAAGCATTGGTGGTTCAGTGGTAGAATTCTCGCCTGCCACGCGGGAGGCCCGGGTTCGATTCCCGGCCAATGCACACANTCTGAGACCAGACTGTAAGGTAATCAGATTACTCTGCTCAGGCTCTGAGACCAGGCTGTAAGGTAGTCAGATTACACTGCTATGAGATCAGGCTGTAAAGTAATCTGATTACACTGCTCTGAGACAGGCTGTAAGGTAATCTGATTACACTGCTTTGAGACCAGGCTGTAAGGCAATCAGATTACACTGCTCTGAGACCAGTGTTTATGTCTGAATTTATTAACATCTTAAATCCAACAAACTGAATCTTTTTTTTTTTTTACGTGTGTGTGTGTGTGTGTGTGTGCAGGCCTATTCTACAGACGTGTGTGTTCCTTTGTCTCGGCTGCCTCAGATTATTGTGGAGACGAAGGAGGACCTGATTGAAAACAGGCTGACAGGTGAGAACACAATGGTGTAATAATGATTTGAGTTATTTGTGTCAGTTTCAGGTTTTCATGTGTAGAGTTTAACGTGATGCTCATCACTCGTGTCAAATGTTAAAACATTCCAGAGTAAATGTCTGTTGTGTCTTTTTGTGACCATCAGCACACATTTGATGTCTTTGTGGGGATGTTGTGACTCTTTGTAGAGGATTTGTGGTACTTGGGGATTTTCTTACACTTGTTTTTGTGGATATTTTTGCCCTTTCAGAGTTTTCTTTCCCTTTTGGATCATTATGTATCTTTTTATGGTCATTTTTTTCCCTTTTACATATTTTTTGTGACAATTTCTAGACATTTAAATAACCTTTATTTAACCAGGTGACATTTGGTGTCCAGTGTGTACAGTTCTCTAGACATTGTGTGTTGACATTTTTTCCAAATATGGTATTTCCTGCTGCTCATCCAGCATTGGTGGTTCAGTGGTAGAATTCTCGCCTGCCACGCGGGAGGCCCGGGTTCGATTCCCGGCCAATGCATGCA